TATATACACACATATACATATATAAATGAATAAAGGACTGGATTTTTAACAATTATCATCTCTATGTGATGAAGATGGGGGTGATTTTTACTCTCTTTATTGTATATTTTCAAAATTTATCATAATCATTTTAATGGATATTATTTTTATATTTTACAAAATTATTATTTAAAACAGTAGCATTGGGGCCAGCCAGATGGTGTAATGGTTATGTCACTGGACTCCCATGTAGTTGACTGCAGTTCAAGTCTTGGACCTGACAGCTTAAACTCATGCCAGGCGTGTGGTGTGTGTGCATGCCCAAAATCTGAAGGGAAAAACGGAAGAGAAGGGATTGAGGTGTGGTCATCCCCCTGGGGGGTGATTTCTCACTTTCTGTCTCTCTCTCTCTGTCTTTTCAGCAAATGCATGTGCCTATAGCAAAAATCTAAAACAATAATAATAATTTAAAAAATAAAACAATTATATCAAAGCCTTGTCAATGAATCAGAGACTTCTTTCTTTCTTTTCTTTTTTTGGAGAGGTTTTTCGCTATAGGGCGCATGCGCTCCCCAGAAAGACAGAGAGAGACAGAGAGATAGAAAGCGAGAAATCACTCCCCAGGGGGGATGGCCATGCTGCAATCCCTTCTCCTCCACTCTCCTCTCAGGATCTTGGGCACACACGCACACACGCCCGGCATGAGTTTAAACTACTGGGTCCAAGACTTGAACCGCATTGACTACATGGGAATCCAGCGACATAGCCATTACGCTAACTGCTGGTCCCCTCAGAGACTTCTTTCTACCTTTCATCTCCAGAATAAGGGCCTGGAATTTATTCTGCTCACCATTAGCCCTGAAGTAAAGTGAACATGAAGGATAGCCAGCTTCACAAGAATGGACTCACCCAGTGCTATACCAAGTGTGTAACAAGAGAAGTACAGTGAAGTATTTTAGTCCACCAGTAGCTTGAAGGAAACATTGCTGATATGGGTAAAGGACAAGACATTAAGAGGAAGAATTTCAATCCATACACAGTGCATTGTAAAGAAGGACTAGGGAGAAGAAATTCCCTTAATGTGACTGTTTCCATTTAAGGTTAGATTGGCATTCTTAATATATTAAAGGGCACAAATTGGCACAAACCTGAAGTACAAATGTAGGCTAGACTAGGAAAGTTTCATAATTTATTAATTCATCCACATATGCAACTAATAAATGTTTATAAGAGTTCTATGCCGAGAACTAGGCAGTTAAGGAGTCTACAGCAATCAAGGTGCTAAAACCCTGCAAATTATTGAAGGAATAAAGATGAGGTCTATATGGAGTTTGAAATATAGGAGATTCAAGCAAAAAAAAAAAAAACAGACAATTGTATTTTATCAGTAAATACTTGTAGAAAATATAAGATTCCACAGAAAAGAATAGCCTAGACTGGGGAAAGTTCATGGACAAATAATGTGTGATATCTAAAGCCAAGTAGGGATAGCCAGCGCAGACAAAGATGGCTGGAAAAGAATATGGTCCAAAGAGAAGGAACAGCATGGGCAAATGCCGCAAGGCAAAAGAGACCATGGTGCATTCCAGAAACTAATCAGTATAACTGGCTTTTATTGAGAACCATGAGGTGGTGTGGGCAATGCTGTGTGTGTTGCAAGTAGGAAGAGATTG